CGGCCTTCCATGGTTGTTAGATGATCGGCCCCTCATCTATTTATATACGGATATATATATATATATATATATATATATGTACATATATATATATATATGTATGTATGTGTGTGTGTGAATGGTACGCATGTGTATATATATATATATATATATATATATATATATATATATATATATATATTAGTATAAGCGACACTTCTGAACATTCCTTAACAGCTCTTGGACATCGAGCAGATCCACCAGCGGATGGTCGGTGGAATTCCACCAACCATCCTCGGGGAGACGTAAGACCCGGGTACGGGGGACTCGGAAATCCCCGACGAGATCGTCAAAAAAATGACGAGGCCGAGCCTGCATTTTGACGAGGCCTCCCGCTGCAGACATCCCACAAAACTCCTCCTCGTCAAAATCCGAGTCGCGATCGTCAAAAAACGATGGCGAACCCGAGTCCCGGCAAACCCGGGTCTTACGCTCCCCCGACATCCGCTGGTCGACCCGGCGGCGGACCCGCCGCCGCAGGACTCCTGCCGGCTCCCGCCGGCCGCCCGGCGGCCGACGGCCGACGCGCGCGGAGCGGCGGGGACCTCACGGGAGCGCCTTACGCGGCGGCGCAGCGCCAGGAACGTCCTATCGCCGCCGCGTTGCGGCATAATTTCGGGGAGACGTAAGACCCGGGTACGGGGGACTCGGAAATCCCCGACGAGGTCGTCAAAAAATGACGAGGCCGAGCCTGCATTTTGACGAGGCCTCCCGCTGCAGACATCCCACGAACCTCCTCCTCGTCAAAATCCGAGGCGCGGTCGTCAAAAAACGATGGCGAACCCGAGTCCCGGCAAACCCGGGTCTTACGCTCCCCCGATAATTCACGCGGCCACGTCGGTGACGAAGTCACTCCAGCGCCCCCAGCGTGGGGAAGGATTCCTCGGCTCGCGCCTGCAAGCCAGAAACCCCACAGGACTTCGGCACGGTTGGCCAGAGACGCCTCCGAATTTCAGTCATTGGAATCCTGGCCAAGCTGCTTCGCTTCGCAGGACCTCCGCGGCTCCGCTCTTTCCTTGTGGCGTCTCCACGGTCAAATCGCCTGAGTTGCCCGCCGCGCCCCTCTTGCTGGGCGCGCCCGCCGGCGCCGCGGCGGACCTGGCTGGCCCGCCAGGGGCCGCCGTGGCAGCGACGCTCGCGCCCCAAGACGAGGCCGCGGAGAAATCAGCCGCGCGACCACCGGAAACGACGCTCGGAAACTCCCAGCGCGCCGGATGGCCCCCCGGCGAAACCTGCGACAGATGGGTCGCGCCCGGCCCATCCTGCCGAGCGCCCGCCCGACGCCCCCGGCGCGCGGCCGCGAGCGCCTCCGCCGAAGGCAGTGGGATGCGGCACGGGAGCGGCGACGACCAGAACTTGCGTGTTGCATACTGCTAAGGGAAATCCGTGCCCTCCACGGGCCCGAGGGGGACCTCATTATGAGATCCGCTGGGTCGACACTCCCAAGGCCAGCGCGCCAGCGACGACCAGAACTGGGACTTCTCCTGGGCGGCCTCCGCGGTACCCCAGGGTGTCCCACTGGCGCGTGCCAATCGACGCAGGGCCCAACTCAACGTTCTCGGGTGCCCTACAAACTGCCCCGCACAAGCCGCGCGCCCTTCGCCCACTTCGCCTCCGTCTGCGCGCGCGGCCCATTGCCCCGAAGCACTGACAAGCGCGTGGCGAAGCGAGGCGGGCGGACAGGAACCATTTTAGGAAACCAAATGCGAGCGCTACCCCACCTCCCCCCTTAGAACTCGTGGGGAGGCGGGGTAGGGTTCGCATGTGGCCTCCTGCACCTTGAAAGCCCCAGGTTCAGGCGCCGAGGCCGCGGGGGCAAGCTTCGCGCGGAACGCCCGAAGCCCAGCCGCGAGGCAGCGGGGTGGGGGGGGGACATCGAGGCGGGGGCGGCGGCGGCGGCGGCGGCGCTGCCCGGCGAGAGGGCGCGCCGCGAAGCCAGGGCGGGGCACCGCGAGGCAATGCGGGGGGGACGGGAGGGGGGGAAGCGCCACGAGGCGGGCGCTGGCGGCGGGGGGGGCGAGGCGCCGCGGCGCCAAAGAAGAGCCTCGCGAAGCGGGAGCAAAGGGCGGCGCGCCGCGGGGAACGGCGGGGCGAGGCGCCGCCGGGCCGGGGGGACGCACCGCACGGCGGGCGCGGGGGGAGCTGGGGCGGCGCGCTGCGAAGCTGCCCCGGGCACCGCCAAGGCCGGCCTCGCGTCGCGCCTCCCCGACCCCGCCGGCCTCGCGCCGCGCCTGCCCCGAGACTCTCGGCGCCGCCCGGCGGCGCCAGGGGCTCCGTTTCGGGGGGTGGCGGTCCTGAGCCCGGGGCGGGAGGCGGGGGCGCCGCGGGGCCAGGGGCGCGCTGCGCGCCGCGGGGACGGGGGCACGGCCAGACCACGAGGGGAGCAGCGCGCGAGCTTCGACGGCGGGCGCCCGCGGTCCGACGCCGAGGCCCACGACGCGCGCGGCCCTGCGCGCCGCACCTCGGGCCGACCGCTGCCGCCGAGCAGGAAAAAGGCCGCCTTCGCCAATTGCCGTCGCTCGGACGTCCACTTCCCGTGCATGTTTCGGTATTTCGCGCGTGTTTTTTATGGTCCAGGATGGTCCTCGGTGGCTCTCGCCGAGGAAAAAAGCACACGTCCGAGCGGTGCCAAGTCGCCGGCGGGGCGTGGAGGGCGCCCCCTGCGTCTCGCGCCCGCGCGGCCGCGCCGCCCCGCCCACGAAGCTGCGCGCGAGCTCCACCTCCCCGCCGCCGCGGCCGTGAGCCCCCACGGCAGGGCGCGGCCGTGAGCCCCCACGGCAGGGCGCGGCCCCGAGTGGTGGCGCCCGAGGGCGCGCCCGGAAGCGCGCGCAGAGCGGACAGGATACGCCTCTCACTCCCAATGGCGCTGTGGCTCGCTGTTGGGCGCGGTTGGGCGCTGCCTGGGCACAACAGGGTGCTACTGGGCGATCCTGGGCGCGATGTGGCGCTCCTGGGCCCTCCTGGGCGCCATTTGTTCGCTGGTATACCTTCCATCAAAGACGAGGGGGGGGGAGGAAGAGAGAGAGAGAGAGGGAGGGAGGAGGGAGGAGGGAAGGAGGAGGGAGACAAGGAAGGAGAGAGGGAAGGAGAGCGAGGAAGGAAGGAGGGAGAGAGAGAGGGAGGGACGAGGAAGGAGAGGGAGGGAGGGAGGGGGGGAGGGAGGGAGAAGCGAGCAGGCGGCGACGAACGCGCAGGCGGGAGGCCAGGGCTGGCGGAGCGAGGCGCGCGGGCGGCGGGCGGGGAGGCAGCACGGGGCAGGAGGAGGCCCCCGAAAGTTGCTTATGTATATCGACGAAGGAGACGACGAAGACGAAAAAGAAGACGAAGACGAAGACGAAAACGAGGAACGACAGAGTCGGACGCCCGAGCTATCCTGGACAGCTGCGGTCTGGGGTAATTCCGGCATGGGCCCTGGAGGCACGAGCCCGTAGCAACCCCGGACTGCCCCCAGCCCCGACGATTCAGGGCTGGACGCCCGAGTTAACCGAGCGCACCCCGATATCAATTCACCAGAGATGATGATGTTCGGGGCTCCGGGGGGACGATAAACTTGTTGCCCCGGGAAGTCGCATGTACAGATGCACGGATAGCACATAGACAGCTGAAATGGTGAGAATCCTGTGGCCCTGCCACACGTTCGTGACTTGGGAAAGCTGATAAGGTGGGAATCCAATGGTCCTGCCACACGTTCCTGACTCGGGAAGGGCTGAGAAGGTGAGAATCCCATAGCCTGCCACACGTTCGTGACTTGGGAAAGCTGTGATGGTGAGAATCCCATACCCCTGCCACACGTTCGTGACATGGGAAAGCTGGCATGGTCCGTTTCACATTTCCCTGTCACACGTTCGTGCTGATGTTTCTTCTCTACATACGAAGATAGCAACTTCGATTCGGAACTTCCCCCTGGGATGATGAAGTTCGGCAACGCCGCCCCTCTCCCCCAACTCTGTCTTGGCTGGAGATAATCAAGACCGGGGGCGTAAGGGGGGGATGATTTTATGTACCGGGGCATGGGGTTATCCTGGATAGCTGCGGTCCGGGGCAACTCCGGTTTGGGCCCTCGAGGCACGAACCCGTAGTTTCCCCCCGACTGCTGCCAGCCCCGATGATTCAGGGTTGGAAGCCCGAGCTTTCAGGGATAACTGCGGTCCAGGGCAACTCCAGTCTGGGCCCCCGAGGCGCGAATCTGTAGCTATCCCTAGCTGCCCCCAGCCCTAATGACTTGGGGCCCTGACAGAGCGCGTCTCGTGGACGCTTGTTTGTAAAAATCAGAAACTCTCTGGACGCGTCGGAACCGGGGGGAGGGACCTAACTTAAGGGATGGAAAAGCACCCCTACCCTGGGTCACAGGGGCGTGGTCTGCAAACCTGCCGGGAGCTCCCAAAAGGCCAGAGAGCCGCCAGGACGCCGCGCGACACGCGCGACATACGCAGGGCTTGCCCTGTCATCCCACGGCAGGTTCAGCGCGCAGCGGCGCCTCGTAAACCCGGGCAGGGGCGCGTTTTCACGCCCTTGACTAAGAACATCTGGCGCGCCTTGAAAACCAAGTGCGGGGGGGGGGGGGGAGAGGCGGACACCAGCCTCTCTAACGGGGGGGGGGCCCTGCTCCTGCGAAGGGGGGGGAAGGGGGGGGAATTCTCGAACCGGGGAGATGGAGGGGAAGCCCTTTCCGAGGGATGGGGGGGGTCGGAACGGGGGCAACAGAATCCTATTAGAGTCCGATCAAATTCTGATAGGATCCAGCCAGCTATTTTTAGATCCTGATTAGATAGGATCCTATTATGGTAGGATTCTGATTCTGATAGGATCCTATTAGAGCTGGATCCAGCTATTTTAGAATCCTACCCAGGCTTGATCCAACTTTGGAAGCGTCCTACTCGAGCTTTTCCCGGCCCTGATAGAATCCTACTGTGGCTGGATCCAACTCGATCCACCTCCCATGGAATCCGACTAGAGCTGGATCCAACTGTATCCTAGTAAGGCTCGGTCCGCCTTTACTCGCACCCCAGCAGGGTTCGATCCAGCTCTGCTTGCATCCTACTGGGGCGCAATCCAGCTCGAATAGAAGGGCTGGATCCAGCTCTGATTGACTGGTAGGGCTCGATCCATATCGAACTAGAATAATGCTAGCCCCGATCAGCTTTTAAAAAAATTCCTAATACAAACTAAAGCTCGATGGTCGTTCGACACAGTCCTCGTCAGGGTTCGTTGCGTGGCCATCACCGTCGTCGTCGATGCCCGACGGCGCCGGCCGCCGGGCGCAGGGGGAAGCCTCTCCAGCCTGGTTCGAACACCCCCTCCCCACTGAGGGGGAGTGGACTCCACCCCCCTCCTTCGTGTGAGATGCATATGTTAAACAAAACCCATATACATAAAATACATAGATATATACATGCATGCATGCATTGTACACACATACATACATACATACAGGCAGACAGACCGACAGGCAGGCAGACAGACAGACAAACTGATAGACAGACATTAAAATTAGAGCGCGTTGCATTACATTGCATACATGCATGCACACATACATACATGCGTACAGATGTACACATAAAACATATACACCTAAAAAACCTATACATACATACATATACATATATATATACACATAGACATATGCATGCATGCATACCTGCATGCATGCATGCATGCATGCATCGTGCACACATACATGCACACATACATACATACATACATACATACAGACAGCTCGACAGACAAACAGACAGACAAACAGACAGCCATTCCATTACAGTGCATTGAAATGTAATTGCATACATACATGCATGCATATATACATACATGCATGCGTACATACATACATGCATACATGAAAATGCGTGCAACCATGCATAAGTATGTACGTACGTACGTACGTACATGCATACAGTTATACATGCACGTATGCATGCATACATGCATACATGAATACATATATACATATACACATGCATACATTCATGCATACATGCACACATAAGCACACGCATACATTCATACACACATACGTACATACATGCATGCTTGCACGCATGCGTACATAGATACATGCATACATACATGCATGCATACATAAGTTGGTTCAAGCGCAATGCTGGGGAGAAGGGGGAAAGCTGAGGGAAATGACCGCGCGACGAGAACTGGTGACCGCCAAGCTCCGTGCATGTAACAGACCATGTAAAGGTACAGCTCCGCCCTAAAGGTGCATGCATACATACATGCATGCATGCGTGTATGCATACATCAATGCACGCAAACATACAGACATGCATGCATACATACATGCATACACACATACATGCATACACACATGCATACATGCATACATGCATGCATGCATGCATACATACATGCACACGCATATATGTATACATGTATGTATATGCGCTCACAGCGTCCTCTGTGATCTACCTTTCTCGTCTTGATTGGTTTTATTCCCTCTTCTTCTTTTTACCGTCTTCTTATTCGCTCCTTCCTCCATTCCTTAACTCTCGAGGTCGGGGAATTGTGGCGGACCTCGCCGTTTTCATATGGTTTTTATCGAGTGGAATCGCTCCTCCATCTCTCTGCGTTGTCATATTATCTTATTATTATCTTAGTTCGTTCGTCCTCTTGTTATCTACCCCTCGTTCTTCATCTCTCTTTCTATCTCTTTTCTCCATTTCCCGCGTCGCAGCCTTCTAGCATTTTCCCCCCCCCCTCCCCCCCCCCCCCCCCCCCCCCCCCCCCCCCCCCCCCCCCCCCCGCCCCCACCCCCACCCCCCCCCCCCCCCCCCCCCCTCCCCCCCCCCCCACCCCCGAGCACGGATCGGAAGCTGGCGGAAGCTTGCAATTAGCATAGGGGAGCGGTGGAGGAGGAGGAGGAGGAAGGAGGAAGACGGAAAACACATCCACGTGTGTAAAAAAATGCCCCCCCGAGCATGGTTCTCGAAACTCTAGCCCTGTGCCCAACGGCATGGGGCTGGAATTTCGAGGACCATGATCGGACTGCATTTTTTTGGGGATCTTCCGATTCTCTTAAGGTTTCTTCGCCAAGCATTCCGCCGCAGCTGGCGGCAGCTGGCGGAAGCATTCTGATGCTTGCGGAAGCTGGCGGGAGCTTGCCATGAGCATAGGAGAGCGGGGGAGGAGGAGGAGGAGGGAGGAGGAGGAGGAAAACACATCCACATGTGTAAAATATGCCCCCCCGAGCATGGTTCTCGAAACTCTAGCCCTCGGGCCCAGCGGCCATGGGAGCTGGAATTTTCGAGGACCCTGTCGGGGGGCATTTGTTTTTGGATCTTCCGACTCCGAAGTATCTTCGCCAAGCACTGTCCCGCCGCAGCATGGCGGAAGTTGGAGGAAGCATTCTGATGTGCGGAGCGGCGAAGCTTGCAATTTGCAGAGGGGAGCGCGGGGGAGCGGGATTGAGGAGGAGGAGGAAGAGGGGGGGAGGAGGAAGGAGGAGGAGTGAGA